CCCAAAGTATCCGACAAGATCCTGATAAGAAGAGCGTTCGTATCGTAAGATTGCCTCCAGTTCCGACGCCCCTACCGCTATTCGTGATACGGCTATAAACATGTTAAACACCATTCGATTCACCCCAGATTACGGGGATGAGACTTTTTCGGACGCGTATGCGACATCGATGGATACGAGCTGTCAACTTGCCGACATAATCCCAGAACGGGTGCAACTGAGGGACTATGGTAGAAGGCTTTCGGTTTCATTTCCACTGTTGACATGCGGCAAATCCTGAAGGCTATGTCATTGAGAGATAGCGCGCTCCGAATCTATCGCCAGGTAAGCGAAAAGATCAGGGTAATCCGCCGATGGTGCCCAAGACCTGAAAGAGCGCAGCCGCCCACAGAGTGTGTCCTTCGCGACCATCTCTGCTGAGTCCCGATACAAGAGCCTCCTAGGCTGTGAAAATTCACTGGACCGAACAATAACCTCAAAGGACTATTGGCAATTTCTGAGGAATCTCAATTGATTCCGGGGTTATGACGGCGATCAGCCCTAGAAACGAGAGGTGTGATGGTAGGGATAGGGAAGGAATCACTAACTGCCTTTAAAGATCAAATCCTCAGTCAACGCACGGCACAGGAAAGTCAACCACGTGACATTCCTAGCCCCATGACACAGACGCTTTCTGAAGATCTGATGCTTCCCACTATCCCCCAAAAATGAGGAGATCAAGCGCTCGAGTGCCTTCTTACGGTTCCTGCAGAGTGGGAGTACAGACAATCGGTAAAGGATTAGTGGAAATACGTACGCCTTATTCGTAACCTTCGGAGCCAAGGCCGAATCGCCGCTCCGACCTTTGCCTGTACCTGTAACCAATTCTTCTTCAGCTGCAGGACGGGTCTGGACCATACTCCAAAAATACGAACGTCAGTCCAACTAAAGATTTCCCGAAGAGCAACGCACTTCCAAGCACCTAACAGTCTTAAACACTGCTTTTATCTACAAGATTACGGAAATAATAAATGAAATCTAAAACAGTTATTTCATAGGAGAATTTCTTAGTAGATCCATGTTCATAAATAACCAACTGCAAATGGATGCGATTACAATTGGATAATCAGTTTAATGGACCACACAATAAAAATTATCTTCTGAATTTTGAAGCATAGAGCATGGAGCATTATTAGACAGGGAATATACCAACAGCGTGGTTTAGTTAAAGACACTAGAACAAGGGTAGCGATATTCATGTTCAGATGGATTTCAGACAAAGCATTACAAATGCAGAAGTATATATGCATATATCCTTATATTTTATTGATTATATCATTTGTATATAGTACAACATAATTATCTGCAGGAAGAGTCCAGCATGCGATCTAAGAATTGGAAATATCAAAATCAAGCAAGCACGAATATTTAAATATATGGGAAGTGTTTTAGCCTAGGAGAGAATATGTGACAGAAATCTGAAAGACTATTAAAAGAAACAAACAAACAATGCCTTCTAAAATCTAAATAAAATATGAAGTAACAGGAAATTTTCGTTATAAAAAGAGGAAGGAATAATCCACTGCTATGTAATATTAGTATTCCAGTATAGCAGTGGAGGCCAGAAATGTATTCCCAAATGTAGAAGCGACGATACAACAGAAGGATACTGAGAACGCCATGAAGAGGACAGTTGAACTCTAACGAAGTTTTTGAGAAAATGAAAACAAAAAGGACATTTATACTTCAGATCAGAAAGTGACAAAGATATTTCTAGAATACATAATGAGGAAAGTGGGTCTAGAAAATGTGGCACTCACATGGCATATTAAAGGCAAGTTTGACAACGGAAAGCAGTGCGTAACCTACCTAACGAGCTTTTGTAAATGGCTGTCAGAACAGAGATTAGAAGAGATAGAAAATATAACTTTACTAAGAGATAAAAAAGGGCGGGAAAATTTGGATTACTTTCCAAGTCTTGAAGATGTCATGGAACGCAGAAGAAGTTCATAGAAAAGAGGATGGCAAGATTCCTAGCAATAATAATAAAATGATGATTTGTGTGTTATGGAATAGTGTTTGAGTATTAGGTTTATTGTGCATGATGTAAACCATTAAAGTGGAATGGACATCTATTGAAACATCTCTAAATTATTACATGTTTGCCAATGAATATTGATTCTGAATCATTTTAACGGTTTTCCTATATGGAATTGAAAGTTGAACAATCTTCTCACGGATGAAGAGAATGCTGGCAACAAAGATGTAAGTCTACGGATGGGTGCTGAGTATAAAATGGAGTGAACAAGAAAACATTGAATATGATACTGAAAGATGTGTAAAGAGAGGACAGGACGTATGATGTGTTGTATAACGAAAATAATATTTCTTTAGGCAAGAAAGGATAGGGAATTGTAGAGAGCCATCAACTGCGACTTTTACTCAACATTTTGTTATATCGTGGATAATACGCTATAAGCAACTAGGTAATTCCGAGTGGAAAGATTACGCTAAACACAGGAATTAGGTAAAACAAATAACATGGGTTTTATTTGTACGGAAAGTATAATGAGTAAGAGTTCTTAATAATATATAATAATAAGGAAAACGTTACGGAGATCCGTAGTGGTACTGCTACTACAATACTTCGTCACGTCTTTATTTTCTCCTCATTCACGTCTCATTAGACTTACCAATCATTGTCGGGGTGTGATAGGTTGTTCCACTATAACACATTTAATTTTTAAAAAAAAAGCAGCAACCATAAATATTGGTTTTATAAATATAGATTATTTTCTATCTTATATTATTGTTGTGGATTCCGAGATGAAATCCGGTCTCAAATGAATGACAAACGCAGGAATGAAATATAACAAATAAATGTATTGACGCAATAATACAATTGGTAATACGGTTAGTAGATCCAGAAATGCGGTTAGTAGCAATAATAATATATATATATATAGTCTGGGAAATTCAGTATCGAAATAGGACTTCCTTCTGGGTCTAAGTGTTCGCAACTCTGACTTCTACAAAGCAGTTACCTCACACTCTTACTCTCTCACTGTTCACTGTATCAGTGTATCTCCAGTCTGACTCCCGGGCAACTACCGGCAGCAGTACAAGTACACACTGGTCGAGTCCACTTGTATGAAAAAGGGGTGGACCATTTAACAATTATTTGCCATTTTAACATTTATATTACTAGCAATACCATGTCATTTTTGAATAACCGTTTATTGGAATATCCAGCATCAAGAAAAATAGTTCAGGCCCTTTGGAAGCGAACTATATGGGCATTTCTATGCTCAGTTTTTCTGACGTTCTCGGCAATAAAGTGTTTAATCGAGAAACAATAACTACAACAACCCTACATCCACATCCTTTCATTAGACTGACGATTATAATTACATTTATAAAAAAAATAAAATAAATTGTGATCACGGATAGTAAAAATAGCTTAAGAAGTCTATGTTCAGTAAATATTTTTTTAAAGAAGAAACTAAAAACGTCTTTTCAGAAACATTTTATAAATTTCAAATAAATATTTTTAGGTTCGACAGCATTAATTATGATCTTATTTACTGCAGCGTTCGTAACAATAACTCTGTCTGTCTTTTTACATTAAGAAGAAATCGTTGAGGAGAGAAAAAAGCAATCAACTAACAAAATAAATCAGAATAATCTGTTCCATTAGATTTCTTAAAATTGTAATGAATTAATTAGTTAAATAACTGAAGAAATATATACGAAGTTTAATGAATTATTTTTTTAATATTACTACTAAATAGTCATTAGAAAATGTAAAAAACTTTTGTGAAGAGTAGAAAAAAAGTTGATTTAGCATAATAGTAAACAATATTACACAAGAAATATCTTGAATATCTCGCTGATAGCAAACATTTAGAAATTCTGATAAAACTGAGTTTTCTCTGTACGTAGGATGGGTACACGGCTAATTGTTGGAATTTAAATAAACATATTTTAATTTCAATTCGATTTGTTTTGACATGATTTTCTCAGAACCTTGAAAGATTACGAACTTTGGGGATCATATTTGATAATCATAACTAATTTTCAAAGACAAAGTATCATTTTTTATGAGAGATTTCTGAATTTCTAACACATAAAATAAACTGCTCGTTTAGATTGTAGACGAATTTGAATAGCCGTAAAAACAGGAGGACACTTGTATACTCATCTATCATAATTCCCAAAAGAATACCATGTTCAAATATCTGCTTCAATTTTCTTTATAACTGGATATCTAATCTTGCAATGTATATACAACATTAGAACAATTGCTTGTTCTATCACTAAGGCTTGAAAAAATGGAGATCATTTTATATCAGACACAAGTTTCCTTTAGCCTCGAAGCATTATCGTTGTCATTATTATAACGGAGGTTTATTTGCTGGAATCAGCCTGTTGCAGTTTATCAGGAATCAGTATCTATAAATCCGACAAACATTGACAATTTTGATCACTATGTAATGGAACATCTTTTTAGCTATATTTTATTTTGTTATTACTTCATTTTACTTCATCTCCGATCACGATAATTTTATGTCTGAACTACAATTATTGCATTCTTGAAATATCATTAGACATGTTGTTTGCCTTTTGGAAACTGATCAACTTAGTCACGAATGTGGCGCCGTTAATTTCAGAAATCCAAGCATTCATTGCAATATATATATATATATATGTGTGTGTGTGTGTGTGTGTGTGTGTGTGTGTGTGTGTACGCGCACGGGTGCATCTGTGAGTTTCCTGGAAAATCTAGGAGAGTATTAGGTATAAAGTTGGTTATCCATTAATCATACTCGCGTTGAAAGAAATAATGCAAAACAGCGAATAAGAAAGGCAAGAGAGGGAAAAAGAAGAACAATAAAATCTACTGAGAAAACCAGAGGTACGTGAAGAACACAATAAGGGTACCACGTGACCGGAAATTGGAATAGAAATATGACCGCAACTTGAGCCGGTCGCTTATAATAGAGCTGTCAATCAAAGCCTAGTCAGAGAGAGCGAGCGAGAGAGAGAGAAAGAAAGAGAGAGAGAGAGAGAGAGAGAGATGGAGAGAACGGGAAGAGGGAAAGAGAGAAACGGGAGAAGAGGCATATTCTAGGCGCGAACAATGGCGCGAACAGAGTCAGGGGAGCAAAAGACACGGGAACACGATGCATTCCGATAATTCTAAAAAATGCAACAAAAGCTATAAGTAACGTTAATATGTCTTTCAGAGGCCAATGCTTTTTTTTTTTTGTCCTGCAAGGAAAAGGAGAATAAAAAAGAGAAAAATATTGTAAGCACACACTCACAGAGAAACCCACAAACACCCCTATATATATATATATATATATATATATATATATATATATATATATATATATATATATATATATATATATATATATATATATATATATATATATATATATATATATATATATATATCGGGAAATAGAGAGAGGGACATTTGGGTGGAGGAAAAGAGAAACACCAGAGGAAAAAAAAATATAAAGATATCATAATTCAAAGACTAAAGTTCTTTTGTCAGTGATGATAATATAGGAATAATTTTTTCTCTGATTATGGTGAAATTAATGATGATGTCCATACAAATATGTTATGCTTACGATGATGTAAATTCTGGCCAACATTCTAGCGTTTATGATTATGACATTGAGAATGTTATAGAGATTAATTTACTTGAATTTTAAAAGATATCGCTGCTCGTAGTAACGATGATTGTGATAATAGTGACAGCATCTTTGCAGACAGTTAAATTTTAAGTCATTCACCATGATAAAGGGAGTAAACAGTAAGTGAAATTGATTAGGGCATATTTCTTTCACAAAACACCTGGATTTAATCTAATTATTGTTGTCACGCTAAAGCTATTACAAAGGTTTTATTTCTCCAAATATTTATCTTCAGGTAACATTCTAAGTGTAAATCATAAAATTTGTGTTACTATTAACTCATGTGTAAAAAATAGCACAAAAACTTATGTCAAAATATCTCTATCTATAAAAGACAAGATGTGTGTGTGTGTGTGTGTGTGTGTGTGTGTATGTGTGTGTGTGTGTGTGTGTGTGTGTGTAACGAATGCACGGCCACAATTTTCGACGGATTTGCACCAAAATTTACATGCACATGCTCCAAGTTATGGGAAAGGCCAAAACTGCCTTTCCATTCCGCAACTCCTATCGATAGTGGGAATAATCGTTTTTTTATGCTTCTACGGCAGTTTTCATGTAGTTTGCGGCCATTTTGTACTGGCCAGAGTGAGAGCCAATAGCTGGCTGCCACGAATAGGCAGGAAAATTCTATTGGCCAGCGTGAGAGCCAACATCTGACTGACACGAATGTTAACTAGCATGCAAAAAAAAATCGATAGCTGCTTCGTCACAAGTGGGAAAAATTTAAATCTGCATGGCACTTTACTCCAATTGGCTGATTCGCTTACTTAAACTCAACTTTGATTCTGATTTCGCAGAACTGAGTTGGGTGTGAAAAAGTATTTGTTGTTAACATTCTTTTTTCATTCGGTTTTTCCAGTTACGAGTTCTTTTTTAAAGCTGTTTTGTGTTCATTTTGTTTAGTTCTTTTTTCGTAACAGATTTAATGTTTAGTATAGAGCTTCGAAAAAATTCGCAGTGTGAGGTAGGCAAGAAGTAAATCATGTAGCAACATCAGCACGGCAAAGGGCACTCCTTTAAAGGCAAGGAAGGGCAAAAATATTTTAAGTCAAGTGATAGCGATTGCTGTATGAGTCGTACGATTTTTGAATCAAGCACAGGCAACGCTGGGCCATGCTGCTAGTATCACATCATAAGATAAAACATTGGGTTGTGTATTTGTGTATATTAATTTTAAGTTCAGTTCCGATGTCGGATAGTAGAGATTTAGATTTATTGGTGACAGCGAGTAATAATCGAACAATAGTGCATAAAGCATAAACCCAGATATTCAGAAACATGGATACCAAAATGAGTATCAACTTGCCGTGTAGATTAAATAAAGTGTTCAGTTCGAAAATCCCTGAAGTATATGAAGATTGACAGATACCTGAAGAAGTCCGAAACAGGACAAGTGTCCGGATGTAAATTCTGTAAGTGTTTATATAAAACTTGTGAATACTTTCAAGAACGAATTTCAAGCTGTAAAAATGACAATATATGTAATATATGATACCAGTCTGATCAGTAATTACAAATTTTATCGACGATATAGATAGAAATGTTTTTGAAACTAAGAGGAGTATTCACTGGATAGGAAAATATCATATTGCGCATTGATACGTAGGATCTAATTCTGGACAATCTCCTCAAACATGAAGAAGTAACCTGAAGCTACAGAGAGTTTTTTTTTTCAATTGTCAGATGATAAGAATACTCTGAATCGTATATCTTAGCAAGGAGAAAAGTTTAAGTGATATAAGAACTGCAAGTAACATAAAAAATTCAGGTACATGACACACCAGAAATCTAGGCTGGCAAATATAGTATGGCTATCAAAATATGTATGATTTAAGAATATACGGAATCAGGGGAAAACACCGTGTAACCAAATTAAAGATTTCGTATGTATGGATGACATAGAAATAACAAAATTTTATGGAAGAGGATAATATTTCCTCTAACCAAAATAGGCAGGTAGTCATGATCGCAAACGTTTTGGCACATAGGTAAACATGAAACGATTATTATTACAATTAGCCTCCACCATTTCTCTTTGTCTGATCAAGTGAATCGTTGTTGAAATCATCTCTGCGTTTGTTAATACGCGATATTTCTCACATAGTAATTAAATTTTGCCATCGTTAAATGAGATCCAAACAATAGATACCCTACTTCATCACACTACAGAAAGGAATTAAAAAATTGTGTATATTTGAATATATAGCAGAACATTATACTAGTTTTGAACAAAGGTGATAATTTTAGACCGCATTGTTACAGTGTGTTTATATATGCCAAATATATTTCATAGGGATATCAGAAATTGGAATCTTAGAAACAATAATTCACACCATCCTTGATACAGCATTTTTGGAAAAACAATGGTACCTAAGATTTGATGCAGTGCTAACATGATTAATTGTCACTTGATATCCCGTGCAAACCAATACGATGAAGGCGAGTCAAAACGCCAAATAAATAAAGTAATGATTCAAATTTATAAAGTCAAAATGCCAAATATTCCAGTAAATTAAAAAAAGAAAGTTGCCTGTGCACTGAGACGAAAATCTGACACAAAGCTATACGGAGGTATTGGATAAAGTTTATTTGCTTGGAAGACAATGTTGATGACAAATCTTTTTCTTTAAAATCAATTGTTTTGGTATCCTATCGCTAATGAATGTTCGCCGTACCGATGAATGATGTTCGCCGTACCGATGAATGGTATCCTATCGCTAAAGAATGTTCGCCGTACCGATGAATGATGTTCGCCGTACCGATGAATGGTATCCTATCGCTAAAGAATGTTCGCCGTACCGGTGAATGATGTTCGCCGTACCGATGAATGGTATCCTATCGCTAAAGAATGTTCGCCGTACCGGTGAATGATGTTCGCCGTACCGATGAATGGTATCCTATCGCTAAAGAATGTTCGCCGTACCGATGAATGATGTTCGCCGTACCGATGAATGGTATCCTATCGCTAAAGAATGTTCGCCGTACCGATGAATGATGTTCGCCGTACCGATGAATGGTATCCTATCGCTAAAGAATGTTCGCCGTACCGATGAATGATGTTCGCCGTACCGATGAATGATGTTCGCCGTACCGATGAATGGTATCCTATCGCTAAAGAATGTTCGCCGTACCGATGAATGATGTTCGCCGTACCGATGAATGGTATCCTATCGCTAAAGGATGTTCGCCGTACCGATGAATGATGTTCGTCGTACCGATGAATGGTATCCTATCGCTAAAAGAATGTTCGCCGTACCGATGAATGATGTTCGCCGTACCGATGAATGATGTTCGCCGTACCGATGAATGGTATCCTATCGCTAAAGAATGTTCGCCGTACCGATGAATGATGTTCGCCGTACCGATGAATGGTATCCTATCGCTAAAGAATGTTCGCCGTACCGATGAATGATGTTCGCCGTACCGATGAATGGTATCCTATCGCTAAAGAATGTTCGCCGTACCGATGAATGATGTTCGCCGTACCGATGAATGGTATCCTATCGCTAAAGAATGTTCGCCGTACCGATGAATGATGTTCGCCGTACCGATGAATGGTATCCTATCGCTAAAGAATGTTCGCCGTACCGATGAATGATGTTCGCCGTACCGATGAATGGTATCCTATCGCTAAAGAATGTTCGCCGTACCGATGAATGGTATCCTATCGCTAAAGAATGTTCGCCGTACCGATGAATGATGTTCGCCGTACCGATGAATGGTATCCTATCGCTAAAGAATGTTCGCCGTACCGATGAATGATGTTCGCCGTACCGATGAATGGTATCCTATCGCTAAAGAATGTTCGCCGTACCGATGAATGATGTTCGCCGTACCGATGAATGGTATCCTATCGCTAAAGAATGTTCGTATGAATGATGAATGATGTTCGCCGTACCGATGAATGGTATCCTATCGCTAAAGAATGTTCGCCGTACCAATATAGGTACACAAAAATATTTTTTTCAGAATTAATCCATTTAGGAATCTTTTATTTGCTGGTTGTTTCTAGTATAGGGATAGACCATATTTTTAATTCTAAAAATAATATTCAATAAATATACACTCAGTCATCGTTGTGCCCAAACGACTTTCGAACAAGGCTATTGTAGAATTATTAATAAAACATTCTGATAGTTATAAAATTCTAAGAGATTTACAAGGTAATGGATTTTCGAAAATATTGTTCAAATTTGAAATTTCGTTAAACGCATTATTCTGAATGATTGGTTGTTGTTTGTTTTCCTCTTGATTCATTTTGTATCCCTTTCTTCAAAGTTTCAAGCTACTTTCAGCATTTTTCAGAGACAAAATGAGATGTGGCTACCTGCCAGTTTAACCTAAAATAATCACGAATCCCCATCATATTTTTCCGAGCCGAGGCATCCATTTCTGCTTATTAGCAAAACTTGTAGGAATTGTCACTATAGTATAGATTTCAAGCAACAAAGATTAGTTCCTCGTGTTTTGACCAGTAATGTGGTTATGAGAAAATTGTTTGACCCTGTGTTCATTTGACCATTCTCTCATCTTTCAACTATAGCGACATGACAGGATATATGATGATTGTATAGAAGAGAGCGAGAATTAGATTCAATCTTTTCCAAGGATATTAGTGTAAATTGAACAGAAACAAACACCAATGGATTTCTCAGATTTCATTATTCACACAGATTTGTGTTACAAATATCCATAGACCGTTCTCTCCCAAAGCGTCAGATGAGGAGTCTATTTCATTTAGAAGCAGAGAAAATTACATATGTATGTGTGTTTGACGTAAGTTCATGTGTGTCCTGGTCTAATAGTAGGTATGTTTTACGCCTCTTACATGGTTTGTTATCAAATGCAGAACACATACACATTTGTCGCTGCATATATCTATTAAGGATACTTCACGCATACATTACACATGAAGTCGTCAAAAAACAAACGTTAATAACTAAATACTAAGGGACTTTGGGTTATTTACCTAACCAGTTCCTTCCTATTTTCTATATATTTTCACACACACACACACACACACACACACACACACACACACATATATATATATATATATATATATATATATATATATATATATATATATAATTCGCTTGACGATGAAATGGAACTAATGCTTTTAATTTAATTGCAAAATTAAATTCGGGGTTTTAGCTTCTATTTTTGAAACATGGTTGGAACTGTGTAGAAAAAAAACCATATTTTAAATCAATTAATTTATATATTATATATATATATATATATATATATATATATATATATATATATATAGTGCGATAGGTAAAGTGTCACCATTTTATATGTGTAATTTCGCGCGTGCGTGTTGATAGTTTTGTCGACTGCCCTCTACAATAGTGGGTCGGTTGGACACCGTCTCTGAGAACATGACCACTATGACACAATTCACACCACCAGAAATTTGGAAACGGCATGCTGTACTGCTTGGCATACACAACAGGAGATCCAATACGAATATTTCAGAGTGTTGGGTATCAATCTGTAGACAGTACAGATGATTCGGAAATAGATGAGTTTCGTGGTAATTACGAAGGTATGGCAGTTTGTTAAAACTCACTCTGGTCGTTCTGATAAGAATAACTCCGGAATATGTTGGTTAGGGCCTTAGATTAAACAAGGTGGTCTACATCAAGTGGCTTGAGGAAATAGTGCTGTCCTGGATCAAGAGGGTATCTGCTGAAAGACCTGATGTCAAGCAACAAGACTCTGTACCATGCCACACAATCAGGCGAACCCAGTCATGTCCGGCAAATAATTTATGCTACAACATCGCCACTTCCATCTAGCCACCTAGCCACCTTGATTATTCTGTATGGGGCGCAATTGAGCGAAAGACCAACAAAATTCGGATGAATTGAAGGCAAAAATTATAGAAGCATTTTATTCAATAAATTTATTCTTTTGCATTTCAAGATATTTTGTGTAATTTTGTTAAATATTTCTGTTAATATTAACCGTCAGTGTTTTTTTACATATTTTTAGATTAGACGACAATTTATTCATCGCATAATATATATATATATATATATATATATATATATATATATATATATATATATATATATATATATATATATATTGTGCATTTATATTATCAGGGATAAGTGTAAATATATTAAGAAGCAATTCCTAATAAACAAATAGGGTACCAATAATATATTACCACAAATAGCTATTTCGTAAGGAATATATAGACAATTTATATAGGTCTCAATTTTAGAATCAGTGTACGCTATGTCCTACCAGCCACCCCTATGTAAGCAGAAAGACCAGTTATTGACTTAGCAGAGAATTATCTGTCAATGTTTTATTTATTTGGTTTGCATATAAGCAGTGTCTGGTATTTTATATATTTTTGTTGTTGTTGTTGTTGTTGTACACATATCTCGTCCTTCATATTTGGTCTGATGAGAGGGGTGGGATAAACCGATTTAGCTGTTTTTCAATATTTGTCATATTTTAATTACTTATTTACAATAATAAACATATTTTCTCCTTCTATTATATCATGGATACTTTTTATGTTATCGTTTGCTTATGATGTCAGAATATCTATCTATCTATCTATCTATCTATCTATCTATCTATCTATCTATATATATATATATATATATATATATATATAATCCAAAGCTCAGTATCACAACTAATCAGTGTAGCTAGACATCCGATTACTTCAAATCAAGATCGAAACTCGTTCGATCTGACATCAGTCAGAGACCCTTACTCCTAAGCTATCGGCGCACGAAAGGAAAGTTTTTAACACATTATATACGTAGTATATAAACGCAATACGGCTGCCATAGCGCTAAATTCTAACGGATATTTATGCATTTAAAGCAGCATTAACAATTAAAATTTCCCTTTTCCCCATAGTGTTCAATCGGCAAACGAGAACATATATCCGTACGCATCCAAAGTATCAAATTATTCATTCGTCTTATCAGTTCGTATGAAAGATTATCTTAATAAACGCAAAGAAAAAATAATCTTATTTTAACACGAATCTAATTATATATGAATGATTATTTGCAGATGTACATATGAGTTTATTTCCAATTGTATGTAAATTCGGTCTTTGGTAAATTTTGATATATTTGCAACATGCGCACCAGTGCTGAAAAGTTCGCCATTCTACGATCTTTCAAAAACCTTTATTCTTATACTTGTCCATGTAAATACTAATCATGTGAAATGTGTTGGATGTATATTATTGTTGTGGGACCTTACCCATAATAACATAATGGACTATTCCATACGTAATAAACACTGCGCCTCAAGAGGAAGCAGGGAGTTCAGTCTGAAGCCGGGCGAGCGGCTGACCGGCTGATCGGTTGAACTTTCTGCCTGCGGGCGGGGAGGAACCCGAACGAGGCTACGCCGAAGGGCGGAGTCTCTTTCGGGGAGGTAAACCGACCCTGAACCCGTTTATACGGGTTCAAAGGGCATATTTTTGGCCGAGCCCACTGGGTTGGAGACCCCACGTTAAACCGGCATTGTGCCACATGATAACCTCGTGGCGGGGGGGGGGTGACTAAATACTGTTCAGTCTGAAGTCTGGAGTGAGGTCCGTCAGAAGTCTGTCAGTCAGTCAGAGCGAGCGAGTCAGTCAGTCGAGTCAGAGGCAGTCCGAAACCTAGTCGCGTTCAGAAAATTACTATTAAACCTGATTGTTCGTACTTACATTTTCTACCTCTCTGTATATATTCCTGTTTGTAATATATCTGTGTTATTCCATATACGTGATCGAGTTCTTCTTTATTGGTTCTACCTTGGACTATCACCGTGGTACAAGGAACCGGACCATAACAATTATATAACTCCTCTCCTGTTAAAATAGGATATGTATGAAATAATGCGCGGTGCAATATTAGTAACAAATTAATACGAGTTTTTAATTTGCTAGTAACTATCCTCCTGTATAAAATTATGAGAGTAGCTACTAAATATAAATATCATATCAGAATAATGATATTTCTCAGAAAATACCAATGAAGACACATGTACGGTGCATCATGAGAAAATGTCACAGCTTCATGGACCTAGACGTCAAACATAAAAAGAACCAATATAGAGAGTTGATCTGAAAATATGGGCTTGGATCGAACAAACAACGTAACTGTTTTAAATGATATGCAATTAATAAACACCCTTTCTTTTGAAGAACGTCAGGGTACTGACAGATTATAGAAACACGGAGGGAGTACAAAGAACATACGTCGCCATTGAGACATAATTTCTAGAAAATATTTAAGGGTTGAATTTGCACTGATTATAAGAAACTTAAGATTAAGTTTACACATTTAATGGTACAGAGAAATCATTTAGGAAGTGACATATTCAAACTCTCCATCGAATTTTTTAAAATAAAATTTATGCAAACGTATCCAGACCAAGTACGAAAATTTAAAAAAAATAATTAGTTATCAGTGCAAATTTGCTGAAGATTAATGTGAAACAAATAATGAAAGTAGAAAGAGGAAATTAAGTCGACAGAGAAATGTAGAGTGACGTCGATATATTTGTTGAGGGGGTTCTCCCCTTTTTACACAAATGGACTCACCCAGTATATATATATACTACGGCTACGTGAAGACCCAAGAGACGAGAGTAAGACGAGAGTAACAGAGGGTGAAGGTGACAGACAGAACGAACGTAGCCAGCAAGAGTCACAGTGAGCGTAGCACGTAGACTCATTAAGGAGTGATACACCGATACTTCAATACCAAAGACTGTATAGATATTTTGCTACTAACCCGTATTCCTGGAACTACTAACCTGCATTACCAGTTTGTATTATTACGTTAATCCATTATTTTCCAATATTCATTCTTGGCGTTTGTTATTTATTGGTACCAGGTTTCATCCCGGAATCCGCAACAGTATTTTAGATTGATAAGATACATAGAGTTAAATAAAAAGAAGCAAAGAAAAGCATATGATACATGGATGTAATAATTATATATGTATGTAAGGAATCAGCTTGAGGGAGAAAATTCTTATCTAAGTACTTTTCTAGTTCAAGAAACGCAATAATTTTCAGGTGAAAATCCCAGGCAGCCATTTTAGGTTTATTTTTTCACTTTGCTTCACTGGTCAATTTTAATAAGATTTTATGTTGCTGGAGGTTAATTAATAACTAAGAGCGCCCGAGTAACACAGACATGAACAAGGAAAAAAAGCCTGATCACAGAATACAGATGCATTAGATAGTCAAACCTACACACACACACACACGCGCGCGCGCTCTTGTATGTGTTTCACTTATTCAAAGGAAATAACAATGGAGGTGTAGTGAAAGGAGATCAGAAAAAGACAGCTGAAAATTAGAAAAAATATTTTTCACAAAATTGTGCATTAATTTCTAAAACACAAATTTATTTAAAACGTACATTTATATTATATTTCCTATTTTATTTGATATTATTATCTATCAGTTCATGAAAAATGATGTACATTGATGCTGAAAAGGTTCCAAGAGAAAAGGTCAGCCAGGAAGTGATGCTGAAAAGTCATCAACGCACAACAAATGACGAAATGAAAATTGAGGAGAATTTTCTATGTATATGATTGCTTGGGACGAAAAACGGTAAGCACCAGAAAGTAAGAAAATAAAACCGATAGAAAGAATAAAATCTAACGACACAAACAAACTGGAATAAATTAATTGAAATCAGAGATAAAACGAACAAGAAACAATACCAAGTCTACCAATAAGAAAAAAGAAATCGAAGAAAAACAGATACATACCCCGACATAAATCAATTTTCCCCAATGGCACTATATTCAAGAAAACGAAAATCTAAAACTGAACCAACACACACACACACACACACACACACACACACATATATATATATATGCGAAACTAAATATAGACATGCATGTAAATATTTTTAATTGTCATGTTTCTGTTTTATATATATACACACACACACACACACACACACACATATATATATATATATATATATATATATATATATATATATATATATATATACAAGTATATAATTGGTGTATACGGAATGAATTGAATCACTTGATAAGACACTGAGGGTGTTGAAACAAAATTGCCATTTTTTGTAGTGATTTTATAACATATTTATGTTATAATTTTTTTAAATAAATAATTATTATATATATATATATATATATATATATATATATATATATATATATTTATATATATATAATGTGAGATTTAGGTATTGCATCAATTTTATTTCATATTATCAAATTATATATGGGCATTAACTTGATATGAAGAGAAAATGATGAATGAAAGATGATGAAATTGAAATGAGAAAGAACGAGAAAAATATTGAAATATAGAATATTACATATAAAAGAAATAAATTCAGACAAAATGAATTATTCGATAGGAATATTAAGGAAGAATATTTAAAATGCGACAGAAGTGATGAATCTCCCATAAAAAAAATTGACCATAAAAAATATATCTGAATAGAAATCCTGTAAAAGTATAGTAAAAATGGTATGAGAAGAAGTAATACAAGTAAAATAAATGCAAGGGTCTATGGTGCATCTATTGTGTATTGTAAAGGAAATAAGATCCAAAAGCAAGAGAATCGAGGAAAATGGAAAAAATGAATGAGCAAAATCTTGTAATCAGGAAAACGAGAAAGAATTTAGGAGGAAAAATATATAACAGAAAACAATGCGATTAATATCGCCTTCAGTAAGAGATTATAATCCATGTGTAAGAAAGACTAATCATTACCAAAATACCATTTCCAGATTTGACCATGCGATCGGCAGTAGTTGATTGCCTTCGAGGACAAGTTTAAAGCTCATTTATATATTACTTCATAGTTTGATTACATTTACGTATGACTAAATTCATGGGTAGCATTTTTTTCTCTTTTCACTGATGTAGCAAACAATGTTCAGGGTATGAACGAAGTTGTTGTAAAAGATAAAATATAGCTACTTGAATTTATTTTTGTTTCTTTCAAATATCAGCATGCGTCGTTGGGATAAGTGTCCAATGAGCCGAATGATTACACCATAGATTGAAACGAACACAGAACATTGAACGTTCGTGGAACTTGTACACACACAATATATATATATATATATATATATATATATATATATATATATATATATATATATATATATATATATATATATATATATATATACTACTGTCAGTTAATAATATATACCCATGTGGTTATATACGTACATAGGCATATATACTAGGCGCGAAAGAAAATTGCAGGAATTTGACCATGAAATAATTTCTTGCGCGACATCTGTTTCCCACGCTCTTGTTCAAATGAGTCCCTTTTAAAGAAGCGCACGGCCTTACATAAGATGGCGCTGGTATGAAAAAGGTAACGAAACGATCTCAGATGGAGGCTGTATTTTTCAGAGAATTAATATGAAATGAATTATAAATTGTAAAGTGTGAATCATATAATTTATTTGCGTATAGAGGTGTGATTACAAGAAAATAAGCAACGTTTTCAGGCGAGCCAGTTCCACACTATAAGTATCATAATTAATTTGAAATCATTTTTGTCCGTGCAAAAATTGCAGTAATCCTTTAATCACTCCAACGAGAAGTGGATAAAAAATAGTAAGTTAAATCTAAGAAGCACACACACACACACAAACACACACACACACACACACACACACACATATATATATATATTCTGTATTTAGGCAGTAGTCCATCTTTTAAACTTTTCATTAAAGACGGCTGACAAGTTACTGCGATTAAACTTCTTATTTAATTTTACTTGTGTTCGTACAAGCGTTTTATTTTTGGATGCAATCTGTGTTATAACTTTCTAAATGTTCTGCATTTCCGACAAATTTTGGCTATGCTTTTAGCCGATATCAAAGATGATTTGAAATGAGCATACACACACAGATAGATAGATAGATAGATAGATAGATAGGGAGAGAGAGAGAGAATATTTAGTTAACATTTATATTTAAAATTGACAATAAATTCATTGATTTCTTTTTTACAGATTTCAAACATATTGCATGTTATCTAAAGTCAGATCAAATATATTTATATCAAGAGAATTTCGGAGAGAAAATGATTTGCTGATACAAGTTCTGATATTTAATCCATAACTGTGGGAGGTGGTTTCATACATTGCACACGGTTATTTGATCGTAAGTGTATATCAAAAACCTGACGGGAATTAAATAGAATTCGCCGTTATCCATTACACAACTCGCACATTCAAGCTTACAACACATGGTATTTACATGTGGTTACCCATCTAGGTACTGACCAAGCTCGATATTGCTTACCTTGGATGATCGTACGATTAACATTGTTTTACCGTGACATGGTCGTAAGCCCCTAGCAATAAAATGCATCGAATATTAACGTTAGTTATATCGAATATAAATTATTTAAAAATAATATGACCGTTCCATCTTGGAAAAGAAAGTTCTTCAGGCCACACTACTACTTATCTTATTTTAAGTGATGCCCTAAATTTTCTTATTTGAAATAAATAGTTTATGAACACGTGTAAGCTTTATCTCAAGGGAATATTAATCAATTAATATTAATCAATAAATATATTTTGGGGTTTACGCAACCTAAATATCATTCATAATCACTGGGTAGAGATTAGGAATAGCACTCTTAATCAATGTGTGAAGTTTGGAAACAACACTCGCAATGGCTGTGCGGTTTGAGGATATCATTCTCAATAAATGCGGTTAGAGAATATCATTCTCAATCAATGGAATCGGCCAGGGAATATCGTTCTCAGTGGCTGGATGTGGGTACGGAATATCACTTTCAATCGCTGGGTGCGGGTAGGGAATATTTTTCTCCATCGCTTGGTGCGGGTAGGGAATATATCTCTCCATCGTTGGGTGCGGGTAGGGAATATACCTCTCCATCGTTGGGTGCGGGTAGGGAAGATATCTCTCAATTGCTGGGTGCGGGTAGGGAATATATCTCTCCATCGATGGGTGCGGGTAGGGAATGTATCTCTCCATCGTTGGGTGCGCGTAGGGAATATACCTCTCCATCGTTGAGTGCGGGTAGGGAAGATATCTTTCCATCGTTGGGTGCGCGTAGGGAAGATATCTCTCAATTGCTGCGTGCGGGTAGGGAATATATCTCTCCATCGTTGGGTGCGCGTAGGGAATATACCTCTCCATCGTTGGGTGCGGGTAGGGAATATATTTCTCCATCGTTGGGTGCGGGTAGGGAATATACCTCTCCATCGTTGGGTGCGGGTAGGGAAGATATCTCTCCATCGTTGGGTGCGGGTATGGAAGATATCTCTCAATTGCTGGGTGCGGGTAGGTAATATATCTCTTCATCGTTGGGTGCGCGTAGGGAATATATCTCTCCATCGTTGGGTGCGGGTAGGAAATATCATTCTCAATCGCTGGGTGCGGTTAGGGGACATCGCCCTCAATCGTTGCGTGCGGGTATGGAATATCACACTCAATTGCTCGTTGGGGTTAAGGAATATCACTCTTAGGCGTTGAGTGCCGGTCGGGAATATCACCCTCAATCGCTGGGTGCGGTTTGCGAGTACCACTCTCAATCGCTGGGTGCGGTTTGCGAATAATCACTGGGTGTGGTTTACTAATATCAGTCTCAATTACTGGGTGGAGTTTGGAAATATCCCTCTCAACCATTGGGTGCTGTTAGTGGACATCAAGATTGCTAGCTATTTTCCTGGCACAACTTACACATTTTTTTTCTTCATTTTACACAACTTCTACACTTCTTTATTTTGTTTCACTGGATATTTAGACTAAAATTGTTCTTCTCTTAAATTGTCCGAACGTATATAGACAGGGTAGCACTTTCACAATATTTACTCATACACACAAAATTTGATTCATTATAATATCGCTGTTTAAATTGGTATTCCGTTCAAAAATGTATGCCATTGTTGCGTTGGCGTGTACATTCAAAGTCTGCTTTATATATGATGTTACACGTTACGCATTGTACGCATATGACCCTTTTTATCTAGTCGTCTGCAGTTGCAATTATCTACGTTATTAAGTGATATACTATTTATTAATTATTCGCTATTCCATTTGATGATGTGTCACTTACTGGGTATATAGTCTCAGCTAATATGCATTGTATTTTATTAAAGATTTAATGAAAAATATTTTAGGTTTGTTTCATATTGACAACACCAACATTAGACTTCCATTTTCTTTATTCCTTTGCCTAATGCAATTGGTATAAATCTTAATATCAATTTGCAACTCCACTCCTTTCAATGGTAATATGTTTTCATATTAAGACCCTTTGAATATATAGGCAAAAAATCAATGATATATATAATCTGCTATTTCTTTTGATTTATTTTTTGGAGTGTGTTACTCGAACGTCATCGAAGTTCAATTTAACATGCAAGAATTTAACAGTTTCTTATACCAATTTCAACAGTGATACCCGGCCAAGCGCCTTTAAACAATTCCAATGTATTTATCATATCAATAATCTTGTGCTTGCGATATTATTTTAATGAGCCCTCAAACCCTATAAAATCAGTTATCGTTTTTGTTCATTATTTAGCTTAACATGTGCAATGCAAATTATTACGCCCCGCTCACAAGATTTTCCATCCTATATTTAACTTTTATGAAATTTGTTATAGTATAATACGGAATTTCAATAATGCATACTTTCAACACGTTGCAAAGTAATTTATTAACATGTTAAACGTATTTTAAGTAAAAACACTCGTAAACGAACTTTATTTTCTGTATCTTGATAAATCCGGAAGAAATATTTACAGACATATATATATATATATTTTAACGTTGGATCTGTATAGTGAATACGAGGTATACAAACGAAATACGCATTTCTGTTATTTATTCTTCAAACAGATGGACATGGGTCATCCGTGTATGTGACAAGATATGAAGTGAGCGATATAACATGAATATGTTTTGAAGTATGGTACGTCATATGACAAGATCAAGAATAACTCTAGAATATATTGAAAGAAAACACGAGCTATTGGAAATGGTGTACGCAAGGGTACTTAACACGAGCTTCATGCATTCCAGATAATATATATATATATAAATAAATAAAAAGAAAAAAACTGTAAGATATATAATCCGGTGTTCTTATAGATATTTTTTATTTTTACGAAATAGTGCTCAATGTAAATTTACAGAGCATTAATATTATAAATTAATTGATTTAAAATATGTTTTTTTTCGCTACACAGTTCTAACCATGTTTCAAAAATGGAAGCTGAATGTCTTTAATTTGATTACAAAATTAAATTCAGAGCTTTCAGCTTCCATTTTTGAAACATAGTTAGAACTGTGTAGCGAAAAAACATATTTTAAATCAATTAATTTATAATATATATATATAAATATATATACACACACACATATATATATATATATGTGTGAGTGTGTGTGCATGTATATATAAAAGAATTATATGCATTACTTATTAAACGTTTGTAGTAAAAAATGTCAGATTAAAAATCATGCTAATCTTTTAAATATTCTTATATTACAGTAAGAGTATGAAAATCAACTGATCAGGTATAGACATAAGAAGACCCCACAGAGAAAAATACAATTAATAAATAAGATAATCAAGTTTTACAGCTTTATGGTAAAATGTAGAAGTTGGAATTTGGTTTTCCTGCTTATAAAGAAAATTAAAGTTCCTTACCTTACAAATAATAATTTGAATTGCTTAGGAATTTTGATATATTCGACAAAAAATATTATAATAATGCAGAACTTATTCACCAGATTACGGATTGAAATAGAGCCATTGACTGCAGAAATATAGAAAAGGAGTAAGGCAAGGTTGGTCATTCTCAGTAGATTCATTCAACATTTACAAAGTATTGTAGATCCTACCGGGATTTAGCATCGGTGGCCAAAATCTTACCAATATAAGATACGCAGATGATACAGTAGACTCGGAAAAGAAACTACAAACCACCCACAGAAGGTAGCAAGAGAGAGCGAGAAGAAGGGACTAACTATAAACTACAAGAAGACAGAATGCATGGTCATCAGTAAAAGGATGAACCCGAAATGAGATTTGCAGGTCGGGAACACTGAAATAAAGTATGTGCGGAAGTTTAATATCTGGGAACTGTTTTGAAGGTGGGCGGTAGGTGCGACGCTGAGATCCGAAGACGGATTGGGATGGCCAAGGACGCATTCCAAAAGCTGGGCAGAGGACTGCGAGACAGGAGGATTTCTTTGGTGACAAAGAGAAGAGTACTGAGCTGCTGTCCTCCTGTACGGCAGCCAGATATGTTGGACGGTTTCCTCAAAGATGAAGAAGAGACTCGAAGCAACGGTGATGTGGTTCTACAGAAGGATGCTAAGGATATCAGGGAGAGAGCGTGTGAGCAAAGATGAGGTCTTGGAGAGGATGCAAACAAAGAAAAAGCTTATTTAACATAAAGAAGAGGTAGATGAAATTTCTGGGACACGTAATGAGAAAGGAGGCCCTGGAGAATGTGATACTCACAGGTCGAATAGAAGGAAAAAGAGACATGGGAAAGCATAGCCTGGCATAATTAACGGACTTAAGAGGATGGCAGAACATGGTCTGGGGAATTTGGCAGAGTCACAAAATTTGTTGAGAGCTACAAGGGATGAGGAAATGGAGAACCATGATCGCCTACGTCGTGAAAAGACACGGCGCATAAAAGGAAAATAATCCCAAGAGAAATACAATTTCTACCAGCATTTCATATCAATAGACACATTAACAAGATAGGGAGATGACAGGTGACCAAACAAGTCTGTGAGAAGCGTTTGACAGGCGAGCAAACCTGTCTCTGCGAACTTCTAGACAAGCGAGTAAACCAATCTGTAAGATCTAGAATAGATATTTAATTAAACCGGGCATAGTGGAATAAGCGTTCACTTAGTAAAAGAAAGAACATATGGTTGTTAAGTAAATTAATTAAAATAAAAG